GCGATGGGGAGATCCCTATGGAACCACCCCTCACCCTTAACACGCATGAGGTGCTGCCCCTGAAGCCACTGAAGAAGAAGCCCTACCTGCCGCTGGAGAAGATTCTGCCCACGCTGGAGTACATAAAGCCGCATCCACTCAAGGAGTACGAGCTGCATCCGGTCACGTTCGACTTTAATCTAGGCGATCTCGAGGACCTGCCGCACGAGGTCATCAAGAAGGGTGAACTCACCATACCGGGCACAGAAACGGTCACTGGCAGCGAACTCAGCTACAGTCCCGATCCCAATCCCGACGAGAATGATACCGTCGATGTGGACATTGCCGAGCCGCGATCCACGGAGCCCACCACAGCCACACTGCCAGCCACCACGACACTAGCCTCCAGTTCAGATGGCTCTTTATCCTCCTCATCTTCCTCGCCCACGCCCACGCCCAGCACGCACATACTGAAGATCCTGCGGAACAAGCCTCCACCCGCGGCCAAGATTGGACGGGATCTAATGAAGCAGAGCGACGATGAGACACAGCTAAAGACCCTGGGCAGCACCATCAACAGCATCAGTCGGTATCTGGGCAGCAATGCCTCAGCGGCGGGTGTGAACATGAGCCTGGCGGAGAGCATTTACGGATCGCCCAATTACTTCCAGATCGTGGCCAATCTGTACGATCACTTCTACTGGCAGATCGCAGAGATTCGCACCAGTGTGCGCACCGGCTGTGGCCTGGAGATGCAGGCCTATCTCACAGCCCTCCACTCCAGCTACGAGTGGGCGCAGAAAGGTAAGAAAAGTCAGAAAGATCCACTAAGGATCCTCTCAATCGCTTGTACATTATTCAGCGTACGACTCCTCGGGTCGCTACCGAGGACAGCTGCTCTTTGGCAACGACAAGTGGCTGGGGCAGCTCTCCTTCTGCTACGAGCTGAACCGTCAGAGCAGCAGTGGGGAACGCAAACACTTTGATCTGGAGTTCTATGTGGCGGATGTGGCACTACATCTGCCTCGACTGAATCGATCGGTGAGTGCATTGAGCTGCTGCGATCATTGATTTCAACTTTCAATTCCCATCCGATTAGATGCTGCTGAGTCTGGGCGAGTGCCTGCCCAAGTCATGCTCGGCTCACGATGTGCAGTCGATACTCTCGCTGGATCCCTACGCTCGCATGCTGATCGTTCTGGGGGCACACAACTCATCGCTGCAGCAGCCGCCGCTGCAAGTGCTGCACGTGCGCACCGTGCCGGGTGTCTACAGCCACTGGCGACAGCTCAAGTTCCAGGTCTTCATGTAGGTGAAACCTCTGCTGCAGCCACCATATGACAGATGATCTAATCAGACTCGGGCTTTGGTGTGTCTCTCTTGCAGTAGCTTTATGCTCACCCTCCTGCTGGTGGTGCTGGTGGCTTCTTACTACCAAATGCGCATCGATGAACGGCGCCTGGTGGTTGCACCCATAGCCGCCATCAGTGGCAAGTGCGACGGATCGCCAGGCAAGAGTGGCAATGACTATGCCGGCGGCTTCTACGGCAAACCCTTCGAGCTCTTCCAGATGCGTCCGCTGGGCACTGGCAATGGTACTGCTGCCGACAGCCTCGACATGGATGTTAATGGAAATAGGCAGCGTTCGGGTGATGCCAGTGAGGTGGCAGACGGTGCTGGTGAGGCAGCAACCTCAGCACCTGCCGCTGGGGCGAGCAAATCGGAGATGACAGACTACCAAGTGGAGACGGGAAGTTGCACTGGCGCGGCAGGCACATACGAGGCAGAGCAGCCAATTGGTGAGTTTGGGGTACTGAGACTGCCGGTAGTTGCCCCTCTCCGATGATCAGTTTTCGTTGCTCTCCATCCAGCCTTCCATCAGCAGGTGCTGCTGTGCTTTGCCCTGCAAACAAATGCCAAGGCCATCCTGAACATTGAGAAGACGAAAGAGGTGAGTTAGAGATTTCGTTAGCGATCGATCCTCTGCTAATCTTCTGCTCCACCAATGGATCTCCTTACAGACACACACCTCCTGCCTGCACGGCCTGCGCGTCTTCTCGGTGCTGTGGACCATGATGGTCCATACATATCTGCAGATGTTTGCCATTGGCGAGAATAAGGTAGATAGAGTCTGCGGCATCCACACGGTTAAAGCTCATTCCCATTTCGATTCCTTATCCAGTTTGAACGCGTCATCACGGAACGCTCGGTGTGGTATCAGGTGATTGGGAATGCCACCTTTTCGGTGGACTCGTTCTTCTTTATCAGCGGCCTGCTGGTGACACTTCTCTACCTCAAGCAGGAGCGCAAGCATGTCGCCGAGACGTGCCTCTTTGTGCGTCGCAGCTGCACGGAGAGCCTGATGATGCTGCTCTATCGCTATCTACGCCTCACGCCCGTCTATCTCTTTGTGGTGATCTTCAATGACTTTGCCGTCAGGCAGGGCCTGGACTCGTCCGTCTTCCAGCCAGCCAAGATCGAGCACAACACTTGCCGCATCTATTGGTGGCGCAACATTCTGTACATCAACAACTTCTTTCCACAGCGCGAGATGTGCATGATGTGGAGTTGGTACATGGCCAACGAGATGCAGTTCTATGTGATGGCCGCCCTGCTGCTGGCCTTGGCCAGAAAGTGAGTGAGAAAGGGATCATGCTCGCGGGTTCAGCTAATTGTCCTTTGTGCTTCGCAGATACTTCAAGGCAGTGGCCTTGACGTTGATCGTCTTTCTGCTCAGCTCGTGGAGCGTCTCGGGCATTGTCTCCCTGCAGCATCAGTACACACACAAAGTGGCGCTGCCCTTTGAGTCCTTTGACTTTCTCTACGACAAGCCCTGGCAACGTGTGGGATCCTACATTGTGGGTAAGTAGCTGCACCATCCGTGGTCCTGCATGCGTTCGTTTGCTGTATGATCCACTTCTTGCAGGCATGTTCACCGGCTACGTTCTGTACAAGGTGAAGACGCCACCGCAGGTCTCGAGGCGCCTCAATGCAGCACTTTGGACGGGCAGCCTGGCCACGCTGCTGATCGTCATCTTTGGCGTCTGGGAGGGACAGCTGAGCACTGGGAGCACAGCCTTCTATGTGGGCGTTGGACACACGGCCTTTGCCTGCGGCATGGTCTGGATCGTGCTCTCCTGCTGCTGGGGCCTGGCGCCCACCGTCAATGCGATCCTCTCCTATCGCGTGCTGTGGCCCCTGTCGCGGCTCACCTACTGCGCCTACCTAATCCATCCGATCATCATGTTCATCTGTTCCTCACACATGAGCGGCACTGTGCACCTGAGCAATCTGCTCATTCTCACACTCTTCCTGGGCAATGCCGTCGTCTCCTTTAGCTGCGCCTTTGTCATTTCTGCGCTGTTCGAGGCACCTGTCATTCGCATCCTCAAGATATGCTTCAAAAAGTGATCGAAGATCAGTTAATCGATAGCTAATACTAATCGCTGCGATCTTTAATATAATCCAAGATTTGTTGTTGGTGAATTTCTAGCCCAGGATAGCTCGACTCGTTAATTGTTGATGGAGCTTACCCCTCACCCCCCCCCCTCCCCCCGACTCCAATCTAGTGGGTTCTTCTATAAATATTACTTTGTTTTTTTTTTGCCTGTGTGTGTGCTAAAACCTCTTAGAAACATGCACACACCGATTGTCAGTTAATTTGTATACTATTAATATCAAGTTAAATATTAATATTTACATTTGTATATACTATATATTTATATGCATCAATTTGTATGTACAGTACCGGACTTTTCCGGAGCTTTTCTATCGCGATTTTCAAAAAGACAAAAATTCATTTAACCAATGAATGGATCAACTTTCTATAAGATTGGCTGATTTTTATAAGCGTTACTTTATTGCATTGTACAATTTGTTAAACGAAAATATGTCTAAAACTAAGCAAAGAAAAAGAGTATTCAAACATTTAACACATAGCCCCTCATTTATCAGGCAAGATTAAATATTGATTAATAACAGAATAACAAACGTACAAAACAAAATCCTCGTGAAATAATAAAAATATGATTAAAATATTCCATATTTTACAACGGCCCTAGAAGCCATAGAAAAGCGATGGCAAGCCAACGAGCAAGCCAGTAAGTTGTCTGACAAAATGCAATAATAAATACCTTTTTTTTTTATTTAGTTCCCTCCGGCACTTTTACCACTTCGAATGAATGACAAAATTGCAAATCCTTATTTTCTAAAATATTTTAACGATTTTTGACAGCATCTTGATGCTTGATCTTGTCTGGGGCACTGGGGGCTATAAGCAATAATAATAATGACATCAACAAATATAAATGTTTGTATAATATTTTCTTGGCGAGATATAGTGGTATTTCAAAGTAGTATACTTTTTGTATATTTCATTAATTTATTATTGAATTTGTAATGGGTCCCAGAACTGCGACCGCATGTCCAACGTTCCTGAATAATTTGTGCGCATCTTTCAATCAAATTCGCGATTTCTATGACAAGCGGAACTGCCCAGCCCGTTCCAGAGTTCCACAGTAAGTCGAAGCGAAAGTCTGGAGTGACCTTAACATTGGTCAGGTCATAGCCGGCGTCAGCAATCAGCCGAATTGAAATTAATTTTGGGTTTGTTTGGGGACTGTTTTGCACTTTATCTCTATGGAACTGAAAACATTTGCAATGTGTAAAAAGTAGGAAAGCTAGCTAACTGCTCATTAGGATTTATTTCCACCTGGCTTTAACCGGTACCCAGACAGCATATTTCATTCCCACTGGCGTTTTATGATTTTATTTTTTAAAGACCTTTTTGGTTGTAACCTTATTTTGCACACAATACAATAAAGAAAGGCATGGCACTCAGCCAATATTGTTGGAAATTAAATTTTTAATCAGAGAAAATTATAGTTTCAGCAATGAAAATCTTAGCTTGCCAGAAATATTTAACGGAATATCGAAATTGAGAATTTGATTTCCAATCACGAACACACATCGATAAGCTTCGGTATATTTTGCAAATGAGAAGGTATATTTTGGTATATTTTAGAGGGCCAGGCGGTACGTCTTATCGATAACTCTCAATACACGTGCCGCGTGCGATTCGTAAACAAAATGTATTTCTATTAATTATTAGCGCAATACACAAAAGAAAGCCACAGAATGTCACGCATAATAGTCAAACAATTGCCCAAGCATGTAAGTAGGTCCAGTTGACCACACCTTCGAAATCCACTGACCCCAAAACCATCCACACGATAGATAACCGAAGATAAACTGCGCAACATCTTCGGTGCAAAGGGAACGATCACCGATCTGCAGCTTAAGTACACGCCAGACGGCAAGTTTCGTCAGTTCTGCTTTGTTGGCTACAGCACAGAGGAGGAGGCGCAGGATGCCATACAGCACTTCAACAACTCCTGCATCCAGACGAGTCGCGTTCGCGTGGAGTCGTGCGCTGCGCTGGGCAGCGAATCCAAGCCACAGTCTTGGAGCAAACATGCCAAGGATAGCAAACACAATCTGGATAAACTGAAGGCTGCCGAAGAAGAGAAGGAGAAGAAGGCAAGCCCAGGGAGCGAGTCAAAGAAGAAGGAAAAGGCGAAGAAGGATACCAAAGTCGTCGAGATTCTGGGCAAGCACAAAGATGATCCAGAGTTCCAAGAGTTCCTGCAGGCCCACGACAAGACACGCACTCTGTGGGGCAACGATCTGGGCGTGAGCGAACAGAACCCCGAGAAGGAGGACGAAGACGAAGACGAGGCTGAGCCAACAGCTGCACCCAATGACGGCGGCGTCGATGCTGATGGCGACGAACCAGCGGGCGATGAAGAAGAATCCCCAGTGGACGAGGAGGCTGAGAAGCTGGCCGAGAAGCCCATTAGTGATCTGGAGTACATGAAATCTCTGATGGCCGGCAAGGCCGCCGAGTCCACTGCTGCAGCAGCGTCGTCCAAGAAGTCAAAGGTGGAAAAGAGTAGTCTGGATCTATTCACAATTAAGATACACAATGTTCCATACAACACGAAGCGTCAGGAGGTGCTCAAGTTCTTCAAACCGCTCAAGCCGTATTCGGTTCGTCTGCCCGGCAAGGTGCACGGATTCTGTTACGTGGGCTTCAAGACCGAAAAGGACATGGCCAAGGCGATGGTAAAAAACAAGAGTTTCATCAAGGGCAAGCAGGTCTTCTTCTCGGACTTCACAGAGAAGAACAAGGTGACAAAGGCCAGCAAGAGTGGACTGCCACCGCCCAACGCACCGTCGGAGAGCGGAGCGAATTCCAAGTGGAAGCACCAGCACGATGGCCTGAGCAAAGAGGAGAACATCTCCGAGTCGGGTCGCATATTCTTTCGCAACCTGGCCTACACCACCACAGAGGAAGAACTGCAGAAGCTGTTCGAAGAGTACGGACCCGTGGTTGAGGTCAATCTGCCGGTGGATAAGCTGACACGAAAGATCAAAGGCTTTGGCACGGTCACCTACATGATGCCGGAGCATGCACTCAAAGCATTCAATGCCCTCGACGGCACGGACTTTCACGGTCGGCTGCTGCACTTGCTGCCCGGCAAGGAGCTTGACAACAAAGACCAGAACGAGCTGGACGAGGACGATTCCTCGCTGACCTTTAAGCAAAAGAAGGCCCTCAAGCTGAAAAAGAGCGCACAGAAGCCAATTGGCTGGAACACGCTCTTCCTCGGTCCCAATGCTGTGGCCGATATCCTGGCCAAGCAATTCAAGACATCCAAGGAGCGCATTTTGGACACCAGCGAAGGCGGCAGCAGTGCCGCCGTTCGTCTAGCCCTCGGCGAGACCCAGATCGTGATAGAAATGAAGAAATTTCTCGAAGATGAGGGCGTTCGTCTCAGTGCCTTTGATGAGCCCTCGCAGAAGCGCTCCAAGACTGTAATCCTAGCCAAGAATCTGCCGGCAGCGACCGAACTATCAGAGCTGAGTCCCATCTTTAGCCGTTTCGGACCCATTGGACGTTTGGTACTGCCTCCCAGTGGAGTCACGGCGCTCATCGAGTTCTGTGAGCCGTCGGAAGCACGTCAGGCATTCAAGAAGCTGGCCTACAGCAAGTTCAAGAATGCGCCCCTTTACCTGGAGTGGGCGCCGGAGCAGACCTTTGCCACAACGCTCAGCGGTGAGCCGATCATACCGAAGACAGAGAAGGAAGAACCTAAAGAAAAGGAGCCGAAGCGAGCGCCAACGCCAGAAGTTAAAGAGGAGTCGAAGCCTGAGCCTGTAGACGACGAAGAGCCCGAGCCAGACACCACAATTTTCCTGCGCAACTTGAACTTTAAAACCGTAAAGGAGACCGTGCTGGAGCATTTCCGCCACCTGGGCGCCATTCACTCAGTGGAGATAGCGAAGCGCAAGGATCCCCAGAACCCACAGCAATTCAGCTCACTGGGCTATGGCTTCATACAGTTCAAGAAGGCTTCCGTGGCAGATCATGCGCTCAAGAATCTGCAGCTCACCCACATCGATGGCAATCCCGTGGAGCTCAAGCGTAGCGATCGCGTTCTCAAGTAAGTAACATAACACCCTGGAAAATGCCACAAAGGTTCATGTAATCTTTCTTTTGCAGAAACCAAAACGAGGATGCCTCACGACGTGGCCAGTCAGCGCAAAAGAAGCAAACGGGCACAAAGATCCTAGTGCGAAATATACCCTTCCAGGCACAATACCGCGAAGTGCGAGAGGTTTTCAAGTAAGTGACAGCCACATGGCCCTGTTTCCCTTGTTTAATCCTTTGATGATTCTCCTCTTGCAGGGCCTTTGGCGAGTTGCGTTCCCTGCGCATACCCAAAAAGGTGACAGCGGGCGAGGATGCCCACCGTGGCTTTGGCTTTGTTGACTTCATCACCAAGGCGGATGCCAAGCGCGCTTTTGATGCGCTCAGCGCCAGTACCCATTTATACGGACGACGCCTGGTGCTCGAATGGGCCTCACACGATGATCAAAACGATTTGGACGAGCTGCGCAAGCGTACTGCAGCCAGATTTGACGACACACAAGCGGGAACGGCGGCCAAGCAGAGTAGACGCGCGTTCTTCGATGTTGAGGGCAACATCCAGGCGCCAGAAGAGAACGAGGAGGAGGAAGAGAACCTAGGACGTGGTCATGTCAGGGATCGTTAAACGCTTTTACCAAGTAAAAGCTTGTGTAATGAGTTCTTGTATAAAATATAAATTAAAACAATTTTTAAACCAAATTAGCCTTGTTTGGGTTTCTAAATGTTTTCTTTTGATGTTGTTTAGAGGAGGAGTTCGGAATGTAAGAGGAATGACAGCTGGGTATATTAGGGATTATCTAAATGTTTATCTGAACACGAGTTCAGAGCTGCAACAGCTCCAAAAAGATGTATTTCATGAACACGACACAGAAAAAAGATTATCTGTATCGTGAACGACGAAGTTACATGCAGAGAATGATTTGCAAAACAAACCAACATTGTTCTGAAAGCATAGACCTACAAGTTGTAGTACTTTATAATTGATTAGTTGACGGTTAGTCAATCACATTATGGGGCATATCCTATTATCTTTTTGTACACAGAAAATGTTAAAATAAACGATTAATAATAACGAATCGATTAAATTTATACCAATTTGCTCAACGTCTCTGAGGATAGAACTTGTATGCACGAGGAGTAGTGTGTAGTTGTAGTTGAAGTTATAGTTGTTCGAACACACATATGTATATTTAAGATAAGCTAATCATCGCAGACACGTAGCTTCCATTTTTCCACACATTCCAATTTAATTTGATAACCATCTTGCGACTATGACTTACGAAAATGTGTACGGATTATACGTAGAAATATAATGAAAGAACTACCAAATTTCTAAATAGAATATATTTTATTTTACGCTTCTTTTTATATTTATATATAAAACCTAAACAATTAATATAAAACAAGACGACGAAAAAAAAAAACAGAACTTTATGTAAGCATACACATACTCTCGATCACTGCACATCAACGCCAATCAATCAATCTTCCATTCTACACTTGGGTAATTATAAGTCCTACGTAATCGTATTGTAATGATTATTTAGGTGTATGTGTCTGCCATTGAAGTATATTTATTTTATTTATATACTTTTGAAAATTGGAAATTTTTGCATTTGCATTTGCATTTGTTGTGGGTTTTGCAGTAAGCTGAGGGTTAGGCAGGTGGCAGGAGCACCGATCGTGTGTGTGCGTAACGCTCTCCTATGTTTTGGTGTGTGTGGTATACATTATGCGTAAAGCTGAAGAAGCATATCATCTATATATGAATATATATGTTTGTGTGTTGTCTATATATTTGTAGGATATATATTTCTATACGTATCATATGTTCGACGAGTATACAAGCCAAGAAGCTACATAAGGTAAGCCTTGTTAGGGACAGGGACTGTGTCTGTGTCTGTGGATCAGCCAAAGTGTTGAACACTTTAGCATCCGTGCAGTGTATATATTTGTGTGTGTGTGCGCCAGTGACCGCCATTGAGCAGTTTTTGTAAATTTGTTCATTCATTTAGTAGGTTTTTCTCTTAATTTGTTTCTTTTAAATCCGTAAATCGTTTGGCAGACTCCCCGCTGCCGCTCCGCTTTCCTTTCTCATTCTCCGGTTATATACAACTGGCAGCTCATTTTCCAGTGAGTGTGTGCGTGTGCGTGTGCGTGTGTGTGTGGGTGTTTGTGTTTGCTTGGAGGGATTGGGATGTGAAACTGGGGCTTCAGCGTGTGTGATCTGGACAAAGTGCTTGCATTTACGCGTGGCTATTGCTATGTTTAAAAAAAATATATATATATATATTTATATATCATCCAATCCAATCCCGTGTGTGTGTGTGTGTGTGTGTAATTCTAGTTCTTAATGCGCGCCTGCAGAAAGCAATAGAGTATCCCGGCCTGGGCCATCACATCCACAGTGCTGGCCGCGAGTGGATCCTTTTGCTTCACCTGCGTCTGTCCCGGCCGCAAAAGTGTGGGCCCAAAGACCATTGCCAGATTGTGCAGGGACATCTTGTTGTCGGCCTCCTTCTCGTGGACTCTGCAGGGGGGGGGAGAGGATTGTGCAAGGATTAGCTGGATTCAGTTGGTTTCAGTGGAGGCTCCCTACCTGATCAGATGATCGAGGATCAAACAGATCGATGCCTTGTTGGCCTGCGGCAGCTCGTCAAACACCTTCAGCAACTCGTTGATACGCGTTGCCTCGTTGTTGTTGCTCAGCGTGCTGAATGTGTCGAAGAAGCGCGGATATAGCTGATCCGTGAACAGAGCTTCGGGCAGCTCACGCAGGAAAGTCTTCAGTATGCCCGTCACCGAGTGAATGTCCACCTCGCGCAGCAGCTGCTCCGCCTCATAGGCATCTGGGTTGATAGGATCGAGAATCGTTAAAAGTCAGGCTTAAATCGGTATAATTAGATCTTTGCTTACCCGACTCAAAGGCCTTCTTCAGCTTGGACAGATCGGAGGCAGAGCCGCTGACGCGATAGCAACCCACCTCCAGCATTCCACGTCGCTCCACCTCCCGTATGCAGGCACTGATGATGAACGGAATGTCGCGTTTCTCGCGTCTAAAATGGGAGACAAAACAGATACAAGTATCAAGAAGTGCTGCAGTGGGTGGAGCAGCCAGAAGACACTCACTTTAATACTTGACTCATTTTGACACCAAAGAGGGCGCCTGGCTTCGTTGTGGCACGGCACAGCTCACCGGGCACAAAACGGAAGCTGCAGCTCAGCTCTAGGGTCTCGCTCAACTTGATTGTGCGCATCTGCTGGGTCTCAGTCAGCCAGCTGTGGCTCAACTGCACAAGAGAGAGAACAGATTAGTGGGGGGATTGGAATTAGGGGAGAGAATTATTGTATTGCTACCTTTAGTATGTGTTTGGCTCTCAGCAGCGGACGATCCTTTGCTTCGTAGAGTAGAATGCGCACATTCTGACTGCCCTCCAGTTCGAGCATAAAGCTCTCGTTCCACACTGGCGTTTGGCTGCGGCAAATGATTTTTGTGGTGGCCTTGCGGAAGTAGTGACCATAGGAGTCCACCTCAACGCATGTATAAAGATCCGATGGCTTCTCGAGCCCGGCTAGGCCCTGTATGCTCATGTGTAGATCACCGACAAGCAGGCTCTCGTCGTTGGTGTTGCGCATCAGATACGAACCCATTTCAGTCTTCATGCCCTTTTGCATGGCCACAATGAAGGCGGTGACCTCCAGCGAGTTGATGGTATTCGCTCCAGGCAGATTGCACTTTTGCTGCAAGGCGAAAAAAGGATCAGAAATGTTGTGCCAAATGTGCCACTGCTTTGTGCCACACACCTTGAGCGATGTGATTGAATCAATCCACTGTGATCGCTCAAAGTCCGAGCTGAGGAAGAAGGTGACAGCCTTGTTGTTGGCCTTGTTTCCCAGGCGAAGTACCAGATTGGGCGTGGCCAGCACCAGCTGTGACTCCAGATCGGCCAACTTGCGGCGATACTTGTCGCCGGTGCGCACCCCATTGGCCTCCAGGATGAGCTGGTCACGCACCGAGCGTAGGTTGCGCTTCACTTGCGAAATGTTCGCGGGACTAGATTCCTTGAGCTCAGCCGCGCTATCGGCCTCTTCGTAGACGGTGATATCCTTGAGCGGTATGAACCACTTCAGCTCGTAGTCAATGCGATCACGGCCCAGAGCCTTGTACTTGGCGCACGCAATCACATCGTTGAAGAGGAAGAGATGCCGCAGCTTGCGATGCCCGTCCACGAGCTCCACAATGAAGGAGTTGCGCACCATGCGCCTCAGATTTCGGTTGGACTCTGTGGGCAGACGCTGGCAGACGTTGAACTGGTTAAGGAACATCTGTATGATCTTTTGAGCCTGCCGCAGCGGCTGATGGTCCGGATGGTTGGCTGGTGTCTCGCGCAGCAGATCATTAAAGACCATCGCATTGATTTGAACCCTGGCCACCGGCTTGTGCAGCAGATCCTCCAACGTGAGCGACTGCTCCGTCTGCAGATTAACAACGATCGTCGCGACGATCTTCTTGAATTGCGGATTGCTGGCACTGCACTTCTTCACCGTCTCGATGGCCTGGCCATAGTTGTGCAGGAAGGCGCTGTACAGCTCGAACATGTCCGCCAGCCGCTTGAAGGCCTCTCCAATCAGCACATCGCCGCCCTCGTGCGACACAATTGTCTTCAAGTCACTCAGGAAGGCCGTGTGCACCTCGAAGAGCTCATCGATCTTGAAGAACATTGTGTTCTCCTCCTCCTCCTTGATCACAGGCTGAGAGGTGCCCAACGTTGCATGGATTGCCTTTTTATACTGCACACGGAAAATGTAATAATAAATAAATGGAATACAATTCCGAGTGAAATTCTGACTGCTCTCACCTGCATCATCTTGTTAAGGCACTCCACGTAGATCGTCTCGCTGTGTATGATGGAGCTCAGTATGGATCGTATCTTGGCACCACGCGCATTCCCACTCACCTGCGAGAGAGGGAGATCAAAAAGTTCAACAAATTAAAACAGATTGAACCATAGATAGACAGATATATAGATAGATCGTGGTGTATATTGTACAAGTGCTGGGATAGATGGAAATGTCTACAACCATTTCCAAACCAACAAATTATGAATCGACTCTGGCCGAAACTGAGCCTGCAAATACACTGATTATTCGTATTTCGACAGATTTATGACTCATTCTATGTTGGTATTCGTCACTGTAACACTCAGAATGGATCGCCCAAAGTTGCTTCATCGAAAAGGTGCACTTCAGATGAGTTCTTGTTGAAAAGAACGTGGAGAATCGTAGCACAGGAAGCACTTTTGGGTGGCCAAAATTAGGAATATACAAATCTTTAATGCAATGCGGATCAATTTCAATCGTTATACAAACTGAAAGATAATTTGTTGGCTAGCTAGCAGACAAACTTGCTTTAATTTTACGAGGATAGACCTCTCTTTTGTTCCTGGCAATCCATTCTCAGCTGGACAATACGAATAACCTTCACGTTGCTGGTCTTTTAAGCAAAACATAAAACATATAACAAGCAAACCAAACCATGGTGTAGGGGGTAATGAACTGAGAAATGAAAGTGAGCAGAACAGATAGCTGCGGCATGGACAGAGATGGAGATGGATGGCAATGCTCGCTCTGAGGACAGACAATGCGAGTACAACGCGAATAGCACGAATGGATAGTAGTTTGTACAGTGAACATAATATAACAAATGGACGAGCACAATTGAAACTGAAAGAACGAGGTGCCAGGGTGGGGGATTTGTTTGCGTCTGGCAGGACACAGTGATTGAGCCAAGCATTGAGGAGCTAAAGCCATGTATAAGAGAATACATATTTAAATGCTAATGCGAATGCTTGGATGCAGTCGATGAATGCTCGCTAATACAATAAAGGGTTCGGGTGAGGGTTCGGGTTCGTGTTTGGTTTCGGTTTCGGGGTTCAAGTTAAGGTTACCAACTGGTTCCGGTACTCACGAGTATCGCTGAAACTAAGTTCTGTTGGGAGAAGAGAACAAAAGAGAGTGAAGATAAAAGAAACAAACAAAAAAAGACTCTTGGTTAGTATATTAGTAGTTTACAAAATGTTAAAGTTAAAATAACTACAAATTTTAGGGGGTTGTTCAGGGCGCAGCATGGGCAGGTGTGATGTTTGATTTCAAATTTAATTTACTTCGAGTTAATATAGAACCTTCTCCTCATCATAATATTTTAGACGATTTTGTGAATCTTCTTTTATGTAAAACAATTTCCGCGGACTATAAGTGTTATTATCACACAAGAAATTATATTTATTATTCCACAATTGAACCATTTCCATCTATGATGAGTACATTTAGTCTTTGAGTTAATTTGAATCAAAGCAAACTAATTTGAAATAAAATTCCATTGGTTAATTCGGTTACTGCGAAGTATTCCTACATATTTATATGTCTGGGGCACTCAGAATGGCAGCGTTTACGACACAAAAAGTATTTTTTTTGTATCACTCTCGTTCATGTCTCGCTGTCTGTACATTCATTGATTAAATGCAAACAAACAGGACACATTCGAGTATTGGGGACCATATACCGCAGATGAATTCAATTGGATCCTCGGTAAGAGTATGCCCAGAGATGGAACTACCCATCTTAACGGAACACCCACCCCAGGGAAATTTCAAATCAATTAACGATGACAAAGTATGACAAGTGGCGAGTCGTGCGCTTAGTCATGAGGTTACATCAGCGACTTAACCCCTCAGCTGCTGCGCTTTGTCGGGGACTGGGACTGGGACTGGGACTGCGGCTGGAGCCAGGGATTTGGAGGGTAAGAGCGAAAAAAATCATCCGTGAATAACAACAAACCTTGCGCAGTGCACCTGGTGTGGTTTGTGACGTGGTCTGCTCGTCGTGTGAAATGGTGCGTAGTATGGGCGGTCCCTCGTACTCGCCATCGCTGTCCAGTGAACTGGAACGGGTCTCATTGCTCTGTCTGCATAGAGAAGAAGTCAAATACAAGTCAATATCTTGGTCAGACAGACACTCACTGAAGAAAGTAATCGATGTTCACATAGTTTGAGGTACGACCAGGAGATTCAGGATCCACCACGCTCGTCTGACTGCTGAGCCCCTGGGCCATGGGCAGGGTGCTGCTGCCAGGCGTGGAAAGATCATCACGACTCGACGAGGACCCAGTGCGTCCGGGCTTGATGAAAACATACTCCCCATCGCCATTATCCAGCGGCACGCTGTCATAGTATGGCTCATGATCCGCCGGCGACTGATGTGCTGCCGCCTTGGCGCTCTCCGAACTCAGCGAGGAAACGCTCTCATAGCTCTTGATCTGTACAGAGAGAAAGAGAGAGAGAGAGAGTCAGTTCATGCTCAGTCTGACCATTCTGAGTGTACACTTACAACTTCCGATATGCCTTGTGATGCCAGTGATTCCTTGGAGCCAGCACTGCGTTGTGTCGCTGCTCCTCCACCGCTGCCAGCGCCTCCCTCTGCGTCGCTGGCCTGCAGAGAGGTGCGCGACTTCTTCTCGAGGCTGCTGGTGGAACTGCTGTCGGCCACTGCCAGTTTTGCAGTCTTGTTTAGGCTGCCTGTGGGCGAGGCTCCGACTGTCCCCGCTCCAGTTCGTCCCGGATTTAGAGGTCTGCCGGGCGTGGAAGAGGTACGTCCCAGACTGCTGCTGCCGCCACTGGCGGCGCTAGAGGACGCATCGCTACGCTTCGCATGCTCCAGGCTGTCCATCTTGCCGACCATCTTACGGCCCAGCTCCTCCATCAGCTCCGGATTGGTGACAAACTTCCCCAGCTCCGGCGTGGTCTTCCTGTTGTTCGCGTACTTGGCGTCCAGATTCTCCGACGACTTCTGCCTAAGGATGTCCGAGGGCTTAATGTTGCGCTCCAGCGAATTGCCCGGACTGTCCGAGGAGAGGCTGCCGCTGCCGACAGAGCTGCTGGGCAGGGGCATGGTGCTGCCCGCATATGCCGCAGTCTCGCGCTTCGGCGACGATGACAACTGATGATGCTGCTGGCTGGGAATGGTGGGCGGCTCTACGCGTCGTATATTCTTTGGAGGAGGTCTGGAGAGGGAATCAAAGATAGAATCAATCACAGAAGTCATCTCCTCCTCCCACTCACCTGGGTGGCATTTTCTTCTTGGCTTCCATGTACGAAGACAATGATGGCGACAGGGGCGGTGCCGATGGCTCGGCGCCCAGTCCAGATCCAGCTCCTGGCGCATAGCGTGAAAATGTGGATGGTGGCGTCGGCTGCTGGTCGTTTCCTGAGGATGCCTCGTCACCATCTTTGTCTTTGGCCTCCTTGACCTGAATGACGGTGACGTACTGCGACGTGGTCTTGCGCACCGGCTGTCGCGCGGATGATTCCCGCTCTGCCTCAACGGCCTCCGGCCGCTTGACGCCGCCTCCACTATTGATTGATGCCGCCAGCTCCGTGATGCACTGATGCAGTGCTCCATTGGCATCCTTCTCGTTGCCGCTGTCTTTGTCTCTGTCCTCTCGCTCGAAGCTGGGCTCCAAACCGCGTTTGTCACCCGCGATCGGGGCAGAGTTCAGCCCACTACTACCGCCCGAACCGTTCCCATTCCCATTTCCCACGACTGCTCCTCCACTTGCACTTCCTCCCGCCCTACTGCCGCTGCCAGCGGCATTCGATGTGTGTGTGTATTTGTTGTCTGTGTTGAGCGAGAGCCGATCCTTGTCCTTGCCCCCAGCCACCGACAGCGAGGATGACTCGCGCAGATTTAGGCTAGATTTCTATAAGAAGAAAAGAATAGAAGGTGTGAGTTTACATAAACAGATGTGTTTTTTATTTGGAATATATTTCGTCCTGCCCTAACCCATATGTTCCCGTATTTATACAGATACCAATTGGAAATTGGAAACTTGCTTCGGATTCTTTTTTAGGGCTGAAAGGTTAATGATACCATAGATACACTCTTAGAGAACCCCATCATGTGGGGTTCCACTACTTTTAGTTGACAAAACAGTTAAACGGTTCCCCATCTCAGGCTTTTCTCCAACCCCAATGGTGCATCTATAAATATCGCAGATCCGTACAGACTGTCCATGGTGCTGAATCTCGAATTAGATTGAAACATTATTATAGGCAAAATGATTAATTCATTTGCCATGCCTAACATATGATGGACGAAAAGGTAGGTCCAAGGCTTTTCCTCCACATTACAGATGGGCAATTCCGTCAAAAAAGTTTAGAACTTTGAAAATGAACACCTTACACAGGGAAATATTTATTTACCAATTACCCAATTTACTGAGTTTTTGGGGCTGTTTTGAATATTTTCGCATCGTAGACCGAAAAGATTTGAACCTTGTTCTGAACTGCCTAGATAACCCTATTTTAGGAAGGTGTTAATTAACCGGTGCCCGGGTCTAATCAGGTCTAAGCCATTTACGACGCTAACGCCCCCCACTTTTTCAGACACTTCCCTCCAAGCAGACACAACTATTTACTTATGTATACCCCAACTTTTCTCTTTGTAGATTCCCGGCACGTAACGCATTTAATTTTATTTTATTTCGTATCTTTGGTCTTCTTTTTCGGTTCCATTTTAAATGGCAGAAACGACGGACAAACCTGACTTTTGGGACCGGCGTATGTGTGTGTGTGTAGCCGGTGTTGGATCGCTTTTTATGTTTAATTCCAAAATTTGCTGGCTTTGAAAAAAAGTGAAAACTACAAAAACCAACAAGAAGAAAAATAGAGGGGAAGAAGTGTGGGTGGGGGAAGGGGGCAAACAAAAACAACTGTAAATACAAATGAATAAAGAGAGCAGACAGACACAAAAAAGACCAGCAGGCAGGCCAGACAGACAAACGCGTTTATTACCAAAATGGAAAACTGCCATGGCTGGGCAGGGGAAGAAGAAGGAGGGAGAGGTGTAAGTGGGAGTGGTAATGGCGTGGTCTATCAGAGTTGATGTGTGTGGGTGGATGGGATAGATGGATGGATGGATGGATGAATGTGGAATGTGACCAAGCGAAGCGAGGAAGAAAGCGTGCACAAATCGTCAAAGCCCGTCAATGAAGGTCGATGGCTACTCTTTGAGCTCTCCAGTTACTTGCTCTCTCTTTGTGTGTCTCTCTCTCACTGCTTAGCAATTGCTTAGCATATTCTTCAATTAACAGTTGCTTGGCATGGGGTCACAGATAGCCCCAGCCACTTTGTCACAGCTGATGCGTTTGCATGCGTGACTAATGCCAGCTTCCACATCCACCGAAGGTTGTTCTGTACATAGGAACACATGTATGTACTACATAAATCGACATTAGCGTGCATTCTGCATTTGTTCCATTACAAACGAAACGGGACACGACCCTCATGGATTAGTTGAGCCCCAGCCTCACCAAGTGCCGCTAGCAGCCGATTACAATCAGCTGACTGGATCTCTCACTCGCACTCTCTGACTTTATATCTCTCTTTCAGTAGAACAGCTGTTGTTGTTGAGTCAACTGTTCTCGGGCTCTCTCTCACCCTCGCATATTGCTAGTTCGAGCTTATCGGGAAAAAGGAAATACAGATTTTTCATGCTTGAGGCTAAGAAAGGGCGCAACATCATCGGACTCACGCATTTTCAAACAGTTGTTCGCTGTCTATCTGCCACTCTAAGTAACGAGTATGAAATATTGTATACATATACACACACACACACACACGAATACGTGTACATGTTCATGTGCAGATATTTGTCAAGTGCCTTTTGCGACAAAGCAAACAACGTTGCTTAGTGCTTTTGCCTAAACGCTTTTTTAGCCGCTTTCCGTTATTGCTTAATTTCTTGGGTATCAGTAAACGTTCAGGCCCACGCACACTAACGGACGGATAGAGGTGTCGTGTATGTGTGTGTGTGTGTGTGTTGTGGGTCTACGTACAATGTACATTGTTATATGGTATTTTTGCGATAAGCTTATTGATTTCAACTTGTGATAATACAACAACAACAAAAACGACAGTTTTTATTTATTTTAAAGTTTTTTTTTCACTGATTACGCACCCCTCTGGACCATAATTTGATTTTCTCCTTGAAGGAAGCCATGCTCCTTCAGCGCCACTGTGTGGACGCACTGTCTCTGTTTTTATCACTCTCTTACTCTCCCTCTCTCTCTATGCCTTCTTCTCTTATGTGCAATAAGAACAACAAAACGAACGTGGGCGCAAGAACAAGGAGAAGCACTACACTGCACTGCACCGATTGATAGCCTCGGGAAATAACTCCGCCCAGCAGAAGTAAGCAGAGCGACGACGCCAAATGACGCTAACTGCGACGCCACCAGCCCGTATGACTATGACTACGGCGACGCGACCACGAAATTTGAGTCAAACGAACGCGTTACTGGAACGGTACCAGAAACCGAAGGCGGGGAGCTCAACGGCCGCCGAGGTTGACGCAAAAAAAAAAAGTTAATTATTAATTTACGTAATTGTTGTGCTGTTTCTGTTTTTCGCGGTCGGTGCAGGTGTTTTGCTTGCTTTTGTTCCCACTGTTAGCCGATGTTCGGAAAATCGGCGTCTGTTATTGTCGCAAAGATTCACCACGGATGCGTAATGTAATGTCACGGGAAAAGAGCGGACCAGAATCCCGTTTGGCTCGTGCCCGTTGCCGTTATTTACAAGTGTTGGCGACTGCGACGATGACAATGACAGCACCAGCGCCCCACCAGCAGCTGCGGCAGCGACCGAACGGATTCCGTAGTCGGCAAGCGACACGCAAAACGCACACACACACATGCACGCGTGCACAGACAGATATGCCCAGTAAGAATGAATTGGTATGTATGTGTAGATAACGGACAAAAGTTACAGATATCGAAGTGGTAGTACCCATGGGGATACATATACAGGCCAATATGCAACGTATTGGCAGCGACGCGACAGCAGAAGCTTCAGCCGTCGATCGAGATAGCAGAACGAGAGAGAGCCCTAGACCTACATTAGGTGAAGGAATGAACTGCAAGGATCTTGTAGAAGTTCCAATAAGCTCTGAGCTAGTTCAGCAAATAACAATTTGGCAATGCAACGTATAACGTGAGACTCCTCGAAATTAAATTAAACAATATGTGGTACTAGAAAAAACGAAGGAAACCCCGCGACCAACCCAGACGGATATACAAGTTTTTTCTCTGCTAGTTTGCATTATTTAAATCCTTTGAAGGCATCCCGCCAATGTTCTTCTAAACGTTCTTTTGAACTAGTTCCGTTATATTTCACTCAATGCATAGCTGCTGCCGCGTACAATGTAGATTCATTCCCCGGCTACACCGTAACATGGGGGCCACCTACACATGTACAGACATTTGTACATGTACAAGCTAAATTGATTGCGCTGCTTCTTTCACTCTTCCTCTTCTGTTGGATAGATTGATAAGCAGGCAATGACATTTGCAAAAGAAATGAACAGCGCAGCTGACTGCAGCAGCCTACGCGTTATTTCTGAGGGCCTGCTATCAGTCTCGCGTTACCCTTCGACGAGGCAAAAAGGGAGTTACTATTTTGTGTGTACATATGCATGCTTTTGTTCTATATGGTTTGTACTTACGAACTCCTTTTCCACGGCAGCTGCTGTTGTTGTTGCGCCATTACTGCTACTCCCACTCACACTCCCACTGCCGCTGGCTGCCTCGAATAGCGCAGTTGGATCTCCGCCTGAGGCGCGATACTTTTCCACATCGGAGAGCAAGCGTTCCAGATACTCCACATAAAGCGTCTCCTGTTCAAGCTCCTTGCCCAGTTCTGTGATCTTGACACGATGCCGCTCAAGGGAGGCGCGAACATCCTGCTCCCAGGCATCGGAGAGCGAGCTCTGTGGAAAACGTTGCATCCACAGGCGTTGGAAATCATCAAAGACGCTCATGACGCTCCCCCTCTGCCCCTCTGTTGGGCTCCTTCTGTTGTTGTTGCTGCTGCTACTTCACTTCGTGTTGTTGTGCGGCTTATTGGATGTTTGATATTGCTTGAGATGCACCTATTGCTACTGCTGCTTCTGCTTCTGGCTCTCACTCAAAGATGATGATGTCGATGACCACGTTGATTACGATGTTAATTATGACGAAGAGGGCGAGGTTGGTTTTTATGTAACAAGCACCAGTTGTGCGTTGTCACCTTGGCTGCCTGCAAAATCACATTTGTACATGCACATATGCACATATGTATCTACGAGAGAGTTAACGAGAATGTGAATGTGTGTGTGCCTGTGTGTGGGGGCGTGTGCGTCACAGCCTCGTCTCCCTTAGCCCCTTGAGTGTATCCTTGCGTGCGGGCAACAACAACCTCACTAGGATGCAAATCAATCCACCTTCCAGCTTCAAGCTTCTCGGTATTAAAACCACAACAAAATATTAATGACGTTCCTTTTTCTGTTTTTTAAGAAGTGCGGCTTAGAACCGGTTTGGTTTTGGTGCACTGGTCTATTCTGCACTTGTATTAGTGTGTGTGGTCCCGTTTGTTGTTGCCCTTTCGAATTCATTCGAATGCCATGTTGCTGCTTCTTCTTTCTGCCCATCTTCATTGTTTTTGTTTCTTTCTTACTTTTAGCCAAGGCCAAAAGTGATTTTGGTCCAGGGTGCGATAATGGAGGCGCAGACGCAATGAATTTCTTTTGAACTGTTCACATTTTAACTATCAAGACAGCAGAAACAACAAGGCAGACAGACAGACAGACAGTCAGACGGACAGAGAGAGTAGCCACCACAAATGCACTTCTCACTCTTCTTTCTACACTTCCACTCCAACACCTCCTTCCACTAAAGAAACAGTCAGTGGGCGTTGCAGCTGGGTCGCAGCTTAATGCCGCCAGCGTCGCTGCTACTACGCTGCCCTTACCATACACAATCACACAAATGCACGCACGCACACGCTTCACAGTATCCTTATACGGATAAATACAGGGGGGGAAGGAAGCTGTGTATTGAGACTTGTCACGAAACTTTGAAACCAAAAAAAAACAACTATATTTCACTCTTTCGAGCACACACGCATGCAGAATACACGGATGCCGCTTCAGTGGAGAAGCAGAAATACAGACAACACATTTGCATATGTGCAGCGCATTCTGGGAGACTGTTCTAGTGTGTGTAAATCTCGGCTTTGGTTTTAGTTTAACTCACGTTTCATTTTTTTGCTTCACAATATACACTTTTTTATCTTTATTAAACAATGAATTTGGTTAGTTTTCTCGGCACACACATTTAATAATTCACTTTCACATTGAACATCACAAATGTATTTACATATATGTATTTGTATATGTATTTCTCTGCAGATGACAATAGTGTTGGGCAACAGTGTGACCGCGAAATTATCGATAAAATATACCGTCCGGGCATCGCAAATATACTAAAATATCCCATTGAATCTTCAAAATATACCGTAGTCTTAATGCCATTCCACGACTTTGATGTTCTATTTAATATTACCAGCTTGCAAAGACTTTTAACACTGAAACAATAGCTTAATCGGTTTAAAGGATCAACTTGAAGTATTGTAATTACTAATTTTTATTGGTTTGTATACCTAATGCTCTTATATTTTACAAAATTGTATATGCATTTTTCATTAAAATCGACCTTCTGGAAGCAAGGGAGCTTCTCTACAGTATGTAACTGTATGTACATTATTAAAAGAGACATGTATATTAACTGATATAATTAAAATAAATTTGAAAAAAATGGCGCGCACAATATGTAATATGTATTTATTCCTATTCCATATTCCATAATTAGCAATTAATTCTTAATTGAAAATACATAAATAAATATATACTATAAACCATATAGTGTCTATAGCCCAATATTCATATGTATTTTATTTTTTTTATTTAGTTGTTCTCATTAGGTGTTCAAACTCCCTTCGCAAAGGAAAAGAGCTTTCAAATTCCCTTAACAAACCAAGGGAGCTTTCATGGTGAGAAATTTGTACCAAAAACTAAGGTGTCGATAGGCTGCCACTGACTCCGATTAAAGAGCGCTGCCAGACTAGCGCGGTCAACTTATTGGAAATTTGAAACTATGGATATTTGAACTAATAAACAAAGATAAGCTGACAAATGCATGGCAATTATTTAGCATTCTTCAAACGGACTTTGCCCACCCGCACAAGCCCGCACTGCTAATACCATTATCAACTCCGAATTTCCCTGTTAAATGGATAATACAATAATTAATTTTTCTGTTGGCCCAGCGACTATTTATAGCCTGGGAAGTGACTATAAATCAAATTATATATCGAACCATGCAAATCTCCTCCAGAGCAACCCACTTCTGTCCCTACATGTGGCCCACATGTCTGCAGATCGATTTTAGAAAGGTATTCGCGTCGCACTGTCCCTTATCAGCTCCAAAACCACCAGATAAAATATATTTACATACATATAGTCTTATAATTAAGGCTTTTCGCATTGGACTAGACATCTTCTTGTCGGCTTGCGCCTTTGGTCTCCAACGGCACTTAGTCAGCGCTCCCAAAACGAGCGTAATCTCTCCTCCGCGCATGACGTATCCCCCAAAAATCACGGCCTCTGTCATGCTATGGAAATGGATATGGAAATGGATATGGATTTGGCTACTTGTCTTATCGCTGGTCAATGCGAGATAGTCCATTATCCGGCTGGATATAAAAAGGCACACAGCTCAGACCGATAGCCATTCACGTAGCTCACTCAAGTCCGTCGTCGGTTAGCCTCCTCCGCAAGGCCAAAACAAATTTGTTTTAAGCTACTTTAAGGTCTACCTTCCTAAGGATAAACAACACACAAACACACCCGAACAGAATGTGGTAAGTATTGGATAAAAGATATTGCTATGGGCAATACCCTTGGGTAAGGGCTCTTTGGATTACCTTGATGGAAATTAAAATCAAAAGTGGATATAAACTTAGCTGAGATTTAGTAATGCTGCACAGAAGTACTTATGTTCCATCTTAGGGCTTTCATTGTGCGCCTTTTCCCCATTGACAGGCACTGACTTCAGTTCAGTTTCGGGATACTTCTAGGATGCTAGAGATCGCAAGGTGAATTAACCATTAAGTGACGTTGTGCGGCTGTGGTGAGCACAGAAGAACTTATTCACCTCGCTCTCACTGCTGTCAGAGCGACAAGCGCTAGAAAGAGATGGAACTTTATGTTGATGGCTGGGTTAATGGTGAAATTACTTGCATGCTGATGTCGTCCGCCTGTGGGGAGACACAAGCGCTGCAAAGAGTTGGAGATAGAGCTATTTGTCCCCGAAAGAGAGGAGTTTCGTGTTCTATGTCCGATCGCAGCAGCCCATCAGTTCAGAGTTAACGATGAATATGAAATCCGACTGCAATGCGATATTTGGAGCTGGTTGGCGCTTTCGGTGACTTTTTAGTCGGGTATGGGTGAGCGGGAGGGCTCTATACACCTCTCCCCCTCCCTCCACACAATCTCTAGCAGTAACCAATCCTCCTCCCGATCTTTTCCAGCTCCTGCATGAAATACGCCGTCTGTTGGATTGTGCTGGTGGTGGCCGTTGTGGGTGTCACCTTGGGCCTGGTGTTCGGATTGCGCGGACGCACCGAGGAGCCGCGACGCATGGGCGCTGTCGCCTCCAACGGCGTGGGCTGTGCCGAAGTGGGCGGCAACATACTGGACATTGGAGGGTCGGCGGCGGATGCGGCCATTGCCACGATGCTGTGCGAGGGCGTGATGCTGCCCCACAGCCTGGGCGTGGGCGGTGGCTTTGTGGCGACCATCTACTCCAAGGAGACGGGCTTCATTGAGACGCTAATTGCGCGCGAGACAGCGCCAGCGGCGGCCACTCAGGACATGTTCGTGGACAAGGAGATCACCGGCGCACTCTCCTGCGCAGTGCCCAGCGAGATTTATGGCTACTGGAAGCTGCACGACAAGTACGGCAAGCTGCCGTGGCACAAGCTCTTCCAGCCCACCATCGACATCTGCCGCAGCGGTATCAAAGTGTCGCGCTACCTCGCCGGCGTGCTGGAGCGCGAGGAGCAGCGCATACGCAGCGAGCCCTCCATGGCGGAGATCTTCATCAATCCGAAGACGGACACCGTCTACAAGCAGGGCGAGGTCATGTACCGCCACATGTTGGCCGAATCGCTTGAAATCATTGCCCACGAGGGTCCCGGCGTCGTCTATCGCGGTGGCCGCGTCGGCGCCAAGCTGGTCCAGGACATTCAGTCAATGGGCGGCATTGTCACGGAGCAGGATCTACAGAATTACGAGTGAGCAGATCTGGGAGCTTCCTTCCCACAATTTATACCAAACTTTTGTGCTTTTGCTTTTGCAGGGTACGCTGGGAAATGCCGCTGCACGCCCGCTTCACGGGTGGCTACGAGCTGTACACCTCACCGCTGCCAACCAGCGGGGCCGTGCTCACGTTTATCCTCAACGTAATGGAGCCACTGTACACGAGCAACACGGAGAAGTACTGGCAGCGGCTGGTGGAGACCTTCAAGCATGCGTACGGACATCGCACCAATCTCGGGGACATACACTATGAGCCGGAGGTGCAGGAGGTCTACGAGAACCTCATCGATCCCTCCTTCGCAGCGCAGATACGCGAACTAATCCTCGATGATCGCACCTTCACGGACATGTCCTACTACGGAGCGAACTTCACCAATGTGCCGGATCATGGCACGGCGCACATTTCGGTGCTGGCACCCAACGGGGATGCCATCTCCGTGACGAGCACAATCAACAGCCATTTGGGGGCCAAGGTGCGCTCCCGCCAGACGGGCTTCATTCTCAACGATCAGATGGATGACTTCTCGACACCCGGACGCATCAATATCTATGGGATACCCGCCAGTCCGGCCAACTACATAAAGCCCGGCAAGCGGCCCATTTCCTCCACCTGTCCCAGCATTGTGCTCGACTCGCAGGGCAATGTGAAGCTGCTGGTGGGCGGCGCCGGTGGCTCCAAGATCACCACCTCCGTGGCCCAGACCATTCTCCGCTACTTTGTCCTCCACGAGCCCATTGAGCGGGCCGTCAACGCCGGGCGCCTGCACCACCAGCTGGATCCCATGTACATTGAGGTGGAGCCGGATGTGCCACGGCACACGGTCGCCTATCTGCGTCGCATCGGCCACGAGGTCAGGTATTTGGAGGGGGACAAGGCCTACTCCGCACTGACGGCCATTGGCCTCATGGACTCTGAGCCGCATCCCGTCTGTGATCGCCGTCGCGTGGGCAGCGCCGTTGTTGTGGAGCCATCGGAACCCTAACCCCTAACTCCATTTATCTATTAAAATCTTTTGTCGCCCATTGACATTTAAAAGTCAAACAAACGCGAGCAGATCTTTCTCTGAGACAGGGAGGGTTTGGAATGATATTCTGTGACTCTTGGGGTACTAGAATGATTGGGCAAGGTCAGGCATTAATTTGAAGAAATCAATGCCAAAAATTAACTCGTAAGAAAAAGCTATAAAAAATATGCTAATCGGGCTACAAAAGCTGATTATAACATTCACACAGCCGCCGATTCATGGAGGTATAAATATAAGCCAGAACCAATCTGATTATCCTGTGACAATTACCCAGAGAAGTCTCCTTTGGGAGGCATTTGCTCTAGCTCCATCCCTTTCTAGGGGTTGTCCCATCTGTGCGCGGTGAATAAGCGGAGAACGTTACCTTTTTGAGTAAATTCACCTCGCTCTGAGTAAAAGTTGCCCGCCTCCCAGTTAGGTTTCAAACACAGATTAGACACGCACTTTAGTGGTTATTTCTGGGTATACATCTATGTACATAATTATATTTTTAGACGTGTGTGTGCATATATGTACATTGCTGCCTGTGTGTGTGTGGTGTTGGGTGTGGTGTATACATATGTATATGCATATAGGTAAATGCTAGCATCCTAAACTAATGCACACAAATTTGTATTTAACCAAAAATAAAATTTAGGACCAACAGGAGAGCAGCAGCAGGTTTCAGCAGTTTGGCATTGTTTCGCAATAACTAAGAAGTGTGTGTGTGTGTCCGGGGAAGTGGGAAACTGTGTTGAGCGTTTGCTCGTTCTTTGTGTGGCACGTTGAGCAGCAGCAAGCACCGTGCTGCAGTGTGGTCTATAATATTGAGATTTTGAGCGAATGTTGGTCGTTTTTGTGTGTTTAATCATCGATGCGTGTGGCCTTTCGTCTGGCCATTTTACGCTTCTTGTGTATCGCCTCCATGCGCATATCCTCCAAATCCTCTTGCATGCCTGCCACAACAAGAAATTAAATTAAATTAAACACTAAAGGGGGACATCCATCAATCTAAACTTACC